TTATATGTAGGATTCTTAGTGTTTAAAAAGTCTCACGTGTCCTTATCATTCCATGTAATAACAGCTAATATATTTCAAGGAATCATATATATTTAGGGAAAGATTCATAGTTAATGATAATAGTCTTTGTGGGTCAGTGTGACATTGGTATAATCTATCCAACATGATCACTGTTAGGACTGATCCAGAAGGTGAAGAACACCTTGACCCAGCACATACATCAGGCAATGCCGTCACATTGCTCCTGCTTGTCCTACTCTTGTCATCCTCAGACTGCTATTTTTACAGCTGGTTAAAAAAACAGCATCTCCGAGAGTCAGTTTCACCAAAACTAAACATAGTTCCTAAATCCATTCAACCCATACACACAGGTGGCAGCATCTCACAAAGGGCCAAAAGCACACAAGAGTACAAGCCCCCAGGGATGACCCTTCTTATTTGGACCATTCCTCCTAGACCCATTTCTAGTCAGTATGCCAGGAATAAGGACTAGGGGTGCCAGTAGCAATCTTTAGGCATTATGGATAAAGCTAATTTCTCAGTACTTTTTATTTCAACCAAAAGCAAGAAAATCTCAACACTTTTCCAGCACACTAACATATCATCTAATGCACATCATCACTCATCCTTATTTCAAAGACAACTATGTAACAGAGTTTAGATGTTATTTTGTCAGCAATTGAAAAGCTCAAAACACAGGTAAATTCTAATTGTTTATAGCATCTGGAGGCCTAGCTTGGGCATACTTATTGGTTAGGTGAAGGTGATGGATGCCAGCTCTGGGTTTTGAGAAAAGCCTCTTATTCCCTCATGCATGCAAGAGATGAAGTAAGGGTAGCATAGTACAAATTCTCAGGCCCTCTCCTTTGCTCCTGTCTTGTGTGCTTCATCATCAGAGCCCTGAGATCTTAAACATCAACTTGGGAGCTCCACTAGGCATCTGCCATCTAATTCATTGCCCCAGGACTCTGATTTTATTCTACATTGATCAAATGAAATTTTAATGAGAACAGGAATACCTGCAACCCAACTAAAGAATGAGGGGAAGAAGAAGGAAACAAAGAATACTCCTGAGTGGACAATAAGGTGTTCAATACCCTTGGAATATTGAACAACAAAAAATAAAATAGTAGAAACTGTTTCTTTGCACAGCAGATACTGAACACTTTGAAGTCATTATACTTGTAACGGATAATTTGAATTGTCGACTTGATTGGATTAAGAGAAGCTGATGATTAGGAGGCTTATGGGTATATCAATTAGAGTGTGTCTAGGAATGATTGGCATGTGGGATAGCCAATTGAAATGGAGACTCTCGCTAAGTGAGGGCAGCACCATCCAATAGGATGATGGCTTGGGTGGAATAAAAGTTGTAAGAACAAGGAAGCAGCAGCAGATCCAAGCTCAATTCCTCTTGACTGGGTTCTTGATTGCTGCTGTGATCACTGAGAATATTGGATTCTCACTTCTTCACTCTTCCAAAGTGGACTCTGCCAGTGATTCTCCAGAAGCCTCTGTCTCAGGCTGGGGTAGCACCCTTGTTCTGAAGCTTCAGTCTCTTGGACTGTGCAGATACTTGTTCTTCCAGCTCTCCAGCTTGCAGACAGCCATTGTGGACTATCCACCTTCTAGTTGCATTTATTAGTGCAACCTAATAAATCACCTTTTTATAATTATATTTCCTATTGATCCTGTTCCTCTAGAGAATCCTGACTAATACAATACAAAAAGATGAATGTTATGATTTAGTTGTGGTGTCCCCCAAAAGCTCATGTGTGAGTCAATTAGAAAAGATTCAAAAGAGAAATGATTGGATTAGGAGAGTCTTAATCTAATTAGTGAATTTATCCCTGATGGGATTGGCTGGATGGTTATTGGAGGCAGGTGGGTGTGGTTGGAGGAGGTAGTTCATTGGGGGCATGGCTATGGGGTATTGAGGTGCATTCCTCTGCCAAACACACCACCATAATGTTCAGCCTCATCTCAAGTCCTGAGAAATAAAGCCAGCCTTCTATGGACTAAGACCTCTGAAACTGTGAGCCCTCAAATAAACTCTTCCTCCTCTATAAGTGCTGATCTGGTCCTTTAGTCACAGCAGCAAAAAAACCCTACTAAAACAATGATGTTGCACTAAAGAAAATCAGGCATGCACCTATAGACTTTTCTCATTGCAATATCACAATCACTCTTTGATCAGGTGGACCAAAAAACTCCAACTGTGCCATCAGTCCAATGGTGTTATCTAGAGCTGAAGGCCATCTCTTGGATTCCAGAGAATTTCATACATAGAGAGAAAATACAGGCTCATCTCTGAATACCTAGTTTTAAAGTGTGGATTCCTTGGAACTGGGAAGTCATTAGGAAACAAGACAGGCACAGGTGTAGACGCTGTGCAGACACCAAGTGTCACAGGAATCTCTCTGCACCCACAGCCCACTCTCCTTTCCACAGAGGTGCTATTTCATCTTACCCAGCTTCTATTCCCTAGTAAGATCATCCTGCCCTTGGCCATCTGGCTGCCCAAGTCATTGCTTTATCAGCATGGCTTTTAAATAGAAGTTCTTACTGAGAGATGGAAAATTATCATAAGTTTGTTCATTTATTCCCTCCATTACTGAGCTCCTTATATGTGCAATGCAGCACTGTCTTGAAGGTAGAGAGGAAAAAAATCAATCAATAAATAAATAAAAAGAAAATTAGATTTTTATCCTAGACCTTACATCCTAAGACAGTAGAGGGAGACAGATAAAATGGAAAGTGTTCACAATAGCAAAAAACACCAAACAACCCCGATTGAAAAATGAATAAACATTTCCCCAAAAACTACTTACAAATGGCCAATAAGCACATGAAAAGAATGCTAATGTCACTAATCATGAGGGAAAATAAAATCAAAACAACAATGCAATGAGACTCTCCTAGTATGAGAATGGTTATTATCAAAAAGAAAAACAGAACAAAGCTTGAGTTAGCAAGAATATTGAGAAGTTGGAATTTCTGTCCACTGTTGGTAGGAGTGCAAAATGGTACAGCCACTGTTGGTAAACAGTACAATTCCTCAAACAGTGAAACATATCATTACCATATGATCCAGCAACTCCACTCCTGGTATATACCCAGAAGGATTGAAAGCAGGGTCTTAAAGAGGTACCTGTATACCCATGTTCACAGCAGCATCATTCACAAGAGCCATATGGTAGAAGCAACTCAAGAGTACATGATGATTGAATAAATCAATAAATGTAGTACATACATATAACAGAATATTATTCAGACTTTAAAAGAAAGGAAAGCCTGTCATATTCCATAACATGGATGAACCTGAAGATATCATGTTAAATAAAGTAAGCTAATCACAACAATCACAAATACTGTGTGATTCATTAATATGAGGTAACTATAGTTATCAGATTAATAGAGACAGAAAGTTTCCAGTGATGGTGGGAGGTAGAGTTGGAGAGTCGTTGCTTACCGAATTTCAGTTTAAGAAAGCAAAATTTCTGGAGATGGCTGTACGACAATATGAATGTACTTAATAACACTGATTTGTACACTTAAAATGATTACAGTGTATTTTACCACAATTTACACACACAGTATTTTCAGTGTTAAAATGTTTTACAAGAAAAACCAGAGACTAGTGCAATAAGTGATACTGGGGAGGATGGAACACTTGGGAGACTGCAGAGCATGTGAGAAGTAGAGTCCTAATGATGAGGCATGACCTGGGATTCTGGGATTCTTGCAGGCTGTTGTAGTTTAGATGATGAACATCCCCCAAAGAACCATGGTTGGTTCACAGGGTTGTGTTATTGGGAGGTGGTAGAGCCTGTGAGAGGTTGGGCTCTGAGGGAGGTATTTTGGTCACTGGGGGCATGTCCCCAAAGAGGGTTGTGGGGCTCTAGTCCCTTCTTCTCTATTTTGCTTCCTGGCCATGAGGTGGGTAGTTTACTCCACCACACACTCCTGCCATGATGTGCTTCCTCACCACAGGCCCAAAGCAATGGGACCAACCAATCATGGACTAGAACCTCTGAGACTGTGAATCAAAACAAGCTTTTTTCTCTTTACAAGTTAATTTTCTCCATCATCTTGCTATACTCACAGGAAGCTGACTAATACTCAGGCAATGATATTAAAAGGATAAGGGTCACAGTGAGATGAATCTGAAGCACTCATGCCAAGGACGGTATCTTGCTGATGTTGCCTTGGAGACACACAGAACTGTGGGCTCTCCCTGACTCCTGCCCTTAGGGTTGTGAAGGGGTAGGCAGCGTCTTGGTCTTCACAGAAGGATGCATGGCCTACTGGTACCTGGAAGGTGTCTATGGGTGTCCACCAGGAACTTGTTAAGTCTTGACAAATGGAATCTTATATTCAACTCTTATTTTTACATCAAATCACTTCACAGATTACTGGTTTCCTTCAGATCAGCTCCTATTCCTGGTCTCCTTGGTGGTTTTAAGCCATGACAAGGTGGGAACATGCCCATAAAATACTCAGAAAACCATGCTATTCGGTCTTCCATGAGCTGGTGGCACTGGGCAATTAAGTGCTTATGTATCCTACTCCTTTATAAAATTTAAACAACTCTTAACACTTGAGCATTTATTTTTAGGTTTGTACTGGAAAAAAAATCCTACAAATCTCTTTTGTAAACTACACTGGAGTTCACCACAATGTAAATCATAACAGGTTCATCCATTCATGGACGTACTTCATATTTAACAATTAAAGGTAAACCAGATTAGAACTTTCTCATTTTAAATGCACAATTCTAGGTGAGTGAAATTAATATTTCAGGAAGCAATATCAGAACTTTACTATCTTGATGTTTTAAGAATAACACTTGATGACACCTGCTGATAAATACAACAGAAAATAGATGCAGTGGTTTTATCATCTTTTTCTAGAAAAAGAACAATCTCTGATTAATAATCATAGTAGAAAAAATAGTTTTAAAAATTTTTATCAAATACAACTTTCAAAAAACTACTTACATCCAAAGAGTCCTCCTTCATTAGGATAAGGGTCATATTCTGTGACACCAATCGGCAGGAATAGCCTAAGTGGAGAAGGAATAACATGTGAATTTAACATTCCTCCTGTGGGTTCCTAAATTCTCAATGGCTGACCGAATTCAACTCCCCTTCTTTTGTCTACCTTATTACCATTTTAAGCCTATTGGTTAACACAGAGGACTAAAGCAAGGATGAAGAAACCATAAGCCTGAATTGAATTTGATTCCTGCAGACAGTGTGAATAGAACTGGCTAAGAAGGTCTTTCTAACTAAAGGCTAAAATAAATACTTGTCAATTTTCTGTGGATTTTTCTTTATCCTTGTTATCCTTGTATAACATTAGGATAAGCCGTAGATTATCTAAAATAACAGAAAACACTTTAGGAAGACAAATGCTATCCAATGGTGCTCCTAAATCAGCATAAACATGCCTACTGGAATAGCAAGTTCCTTTGTTTCCTTTGTAAAAAGTAAGTAATTCTCTCAAGTTTCAAAGGAATATTATTGTATATTGAGGGATCCACTTTTCCTACCAGAAGTTCAAAGTAATTCCCATTTCAAGAATTAAATCTGAGTTTAAAAAAAAAAAGAAAAGAAAAGAAATTGTTTTGTTTGAAACAAAAGGATTCCTAAGTAGTATCAGTAATTTCAATCTTACTGTTAAATAAAGTTATCTCTATAGCTTAAGAGAGATACTTTCTTCTGTTTTTCCTACCAGGACAGGAGCATATTTTCTATGAAGCTCTTTCCTTCTCAGTGGTCACTCGCAGATCAAGACAGGAGTACCTCCTAATTACTCCCCTCAAATTCACAGACTCAATGGAATGAAATGGCTCCAGCCACCTCAAAGATCCACAATGACCCCCAGGGCTCCCAACCCCCATTTCCATTCAGCTTACTGAGAAAAAGCAAGCAAAGAATCCTCCTAAGAATCCTAGAAAACCAGACTTCACAACCAGTTTTTTTCCTCAACATCTCAAGATAATATATTGATGATTATAGAAAAATGAAATAAATCATCAAAGTGTAGAATTTTAACCTTCAATTAAATATGTTATGATTTCAAGATGAGCCTTAATCAATCCTGAGCTGAAGGGTGGGAGACCATGGATTCTTCTTGCAGAACACCTATAACATCCATTCTCATAGGTGCTTGATTGAAGGGGAAGAGCTGGCAGGCATTTAACTAGTGAACAAGAAACAGAGATCTGCATGTGTGTCCCTTCCTGTTCCCCAGGTCTCTTTTCATCTCTAGGAAAACCAATAGCAGGCACAAAACAAAATTCAAGGCAGATGAAAATTAAGACCAAGAAAATCCTTTGTGGATTTTATTTGTTTGTTTTGGGGGCAGATAATAAAACCTTGTGTTTGTTTACTTCAGAATGTAAAAAGAATGTCCCTTCCCTCATGACTCTCATTTGGAATATCTTGTAAAGCACCTCAGAACACAAGTTTTAAAGCACAAAATTACGACTTTTAATCTAAATATTCTTTTTTAAAGCCATTAGAAAAGATAGAGCTCAAGATGTTTAACAATAGCTATGTCAAAGGAATGAGATTATTTCTCTTGTAAAAACTACCACATACTATTTTTAAAACTGAAACTAACCAAATAAAGTCAAATCATAATACTATATGGGCAAATACCTATTAGGTTTTAAAAAGGGCAGAGGATAACAAGCAATTTTGTGTACATTTTAAAGTTAATTTTAATAACAGTTATGGGTAAAAGTAAGCTGCTCCCAGAATGCTATTCACAGTTTCACATAGAAGGACTGGAATAATCAAATTCTTTGTTTCCCATTAAAATTTTTCACTCCTATAAATTCTTAGATTAGGCCCAGAAGAGAGGGCTACATTTTTATTTTCACTAACAAAAGGGGATATTGCAACTTTAATCATTTTCCTCTATGTTGGGCTTACTCTTCATCCCCAGAGACTTCTAGGAACTTCATGCAATGTTGACTGTTACAAATTTAGTATAACTAATGCAAAAGGATTTACTGGTCGTATTTTATTTGAAGAACAGCTGCAGAAGTGAGCTGTAATTTTTAAGCTCTAGCTTTCTGCTTTATTTTATATTTTGCAATTTAAGTAAAATGCCATTTGACAACTGAAGCTACACAAAGATATTATGGAAAAACCCTAAGTATTTTTCTAGCCATGGTAGGAAGAGGGCAATAAATAAAACTACTGACACTTTCATGAATTCAAATATACAAAGCTAAAGGCTTCTGAGAAGAAACAGATTAAGCTTTTTAAAAAAAAATTGGAAAATGAATCAAGATTTTGCTTAGAGAATTATCACATAGAACACTTGCCCTAGACAGACCATGGAAGTTTAACCCAGTTAATTGTGACTTAACCAATGTAGCAAATCAAATTATGTCAATCCAAGTTTGGTGTGCTTGATTTCTAATGTTTTTGGATAAAATGAGATCAACTCTTGGAGAAGAGCCAGGTATATGGAAAGTCAATCCACACTTGTAAATTGAAGTCTAGTTCTTTAATCTCACAATCTAACAAGACGGCCATAAAATGACTGAGAGGAGAACCTTTGGGATTTCACTTTTTACCACAGCTAAAATTAACAGCACACTACAAAAGGGTTCCGTTTTTCTACTACCTGAGTATAATCAACATTCAAAGAAATTAAATTATTACAGAATCTATGGTACTTAGAGCAAGAATGATTTTAAGACAATAAAATAATTCTGCACACCAGAAAATATTACCAACCAAATTTCCCAGATCTCTTAACCAGCTTCATATATTTTCTATAAGCTCATATTGTCCAAGATCTCTAAATCCAGATTTTTCTGGAGACATTTTTGAAAAGGATAAGGGTCATATTCTGTGACACCAATTGGCAGGAATAGCCTAAGTGGAGAAGGAATAACACATGAATTTATCATAGATAAAAGGATAGAATAATTTACCCTTACTAACTGCATCCTGGGATCAAATCAACCAGGCTATCCATTGTTGTGATTCAATAAGGTGCTCACAGTCCCGAAGTATGTTGTTGGTTCTAAATGTTTCCACAGAAAATCTGGTCAATCAACATTTGAGTGTGAATGAATAAAAATATTGCCAGACACCAGGAATAGATGGTGTCTACTCCAGATGGGGTCAAGGAGATACAGTCCAGAGTCCTCCATTATCCAGAAAGCCAGGAAGCTGAGGATTCATCAATAAAACCACATCCATTGACACCTTCCTTCCAGACCCTCAGGCCCTTCTCAGAACCCTTTAAAAAAAGAACACGCTGCCTCCATCCTACCTCACACGTTCCTCTCCAAACTGAGCCATCCTTACCCATTTTATGCTTTTTAAAAATTTTTGTTTATTTATTTATTTTTTTTTTTAGAAAATTTTGAAGGCTTGAGTTTTAAAATTGTCTCAACTCTGAAGCTTTCCCTGGTCTTTTGTAACTCATACATTTTTCATTCTGGGAAGTGGATCTTGCATGCCATGGTTAAGTATTCTGACTTTAAGCATCTTCACACCTATGTGACCTATTCTAAATTACATCATTTCTCTGTGCTTCAATTTGATCTTTAGAGAGAGAATAATGTGTACCTCCATGGGCATTCAATCAGAGTCTTCTGTAAAGGACTTGAAACAGGATCTGGCACATTATAGATAACATCTACTAGTACCTATTATAAAAACCAGTTTTGCTTAATAGTCAAACTACACAATATTTTCTCATCTATTTCATTCTCTAATTTGTCTCCTAATTCACTCATGCCCCAGATGGGGTAAATAAATTCCCCAAGCCTATATTGACAACAATGTTGCAATAAGTAATCAAGAGATATAGGTGTGAATTTTCTGTGCAGAATAATAGTAAGACTGAGAACACTGCTAGTGTTAAAGTTTCACCTGAGAATTGGGATTTGACTTTCTTTTAAGAAGCAAGGTAATAACAGGCGGAGTAAGCACCCTATTTACTCACTTTTCAAAAGTAAGCATCTAAAACAATCTACATGCAGACCATAACATCATAATTATATACATTCATAATAAAATTTATTCCAAAATTTTTTTTAAATATAAACACGTAAGACCGTAAGAAATGTTTTAAAAGTATCAATTAATAGGCAATGAAATGCACAGACACTGGGAGAACTCAGAGGTCCAACTAAGAAATGGTTTGAGACAAAAGCTATTTCCAACTTAATGACTTTAAAGTGGAATACATGCTAAGAATTCATTCTCATTCATCCCACATCCATTAAACAAAAGTTATAGACTCTGAAAACTCCACATGTATTGTATGACTCCTCAATAGATGTCTTATCCAGTGGTAATAAGGAAATGACAACTATGTGATTCACAAAGGCCACATCTGAAAATTCACTTTAGAGTAGGGGATGCCAAATTTTTAAGCTAAAAAAGAAAATTGCCAACTCCCCCAAAACACAGCTAGTTAGCATAAATTCAAGCACAGCACTGCAGGATTCTGGCGACACGCCAATTTCAAGTAGTAAAACCCACAGGCAAGATGATAGTCGCCTGACAGTCTATCTACATAAAACTCATTGGCTCATTAGGGACACAAATATCCTGGAACTTAATTGGACTAATCATATTTATTTCCAAGGTACAAAGGAAAAGTCACAATTTAAAAATGACTTATCTAACTATGATTTATATACACAAGCATGCTAAAGAAGGTCAACAACCCCAAACACCAAACTTGTCTTATTATACAAGCGTCACCAGTTCTAAAGATGAACTTCTAGGACATGTGCTACTAAGAAAATGCTGCCAATTAAAAGGTTAAGCATCAACAATCACAAAACATCCCAATTTCAGAGACACTAGAATGTAAAAACAATGTGCACATGAAAATGAATGAAATAAAGTATGTCTTCCAACTCAAAGTTCAGAAAACAGTTTTTGCAAAAGCTATATGAAGCCCTTTAAATAAGCCCTGCACCAGAAATCATGAGTCCTGAGATCTAGTAAAGGTTGGGCAACCTTATTCTAAAACTTTGAAATCTGAAATCTCCAAAATCTAATCAGGTTCAGATTCTAGAGCACTTTGGATGTCAAATTTTTGGATTAAGGATCCTCAACTGGTAACATTTATGCAAATATTCGAAAATCTGAAGAAGAAAAAAGAAAAATCTGAAACACTTTTGGTTCCAAGCATTTGGGATAAGAGATGCTCAATATGTACTAGTTTGGTTTTTAAGTAGAGTATAACCTTGACAAACTGAATTGTTTCTGTGAGCTGTGACTGTTCACATGTAAAGACAAAACAGAGTTTTCAGAAACTCTTGAGGCAGCATGAACAGCACTAGGCACTCTTCCACTTTGCTCTCTTTCCCTAAGTTGTTCTGGAAATAGAAGTGTCAGATACTTGTTCTTCTCAACTACCTTATGGACACCCTAAAAGGCACATTCGATGCACTAAAATGTGCAATGTTATGGGAAACGGATCAATATGATTCATACTACTAAAGGCTGAAGGTCTATGTGACTAAAAAACAGGCTTAAATCCCATCCTCCATCCGGAGCATGACCTCATGCTGCTGATAGCTGCCACCTGTGGTCTGACACTGATAGTCTAATGAAATGTCTAGACGTACATACTTTCTTGAGCCTTCTGCATCATTTGTAGGTTCAACAGATATCCTAAATGAGAAAAGACACTTAATCCCTCAACATCACCTTGGGTTACAAACTTGAGTCTTGAAGGTGGAATAAAGAATAATTCAGACACGGCTCTTTAAAAGAACACTAATTCCCTAGCTGTTAGAAACATACTGAGTAACTTCAAAGAAGAGTCTGAATGTGACTGATACACTAGATAAAACATGAGCACAGAAAACTCCCAGGATAAACAAGACTTTGGCAAAGTCATCTGCTTGTAAGTAGAAGACTTTATCTTCTAGTGGCCTATAGGAATATTCACCAAGAAAGATCCATTAAGAAATATCTAATGAATGTGACTGCTTCTTGTACCAACAGTTACACACGTTACTTCTTTGCAAAGTACAAAATAATAATTATTACTTTTAAAAGGTTGTTTGAATGGGTATTGATTATCTCATAAAGCTCAGAGATGCTCATCATGCAAAAGCAAAATTTTTCTTTGCAAGTAATAATCAAGTTTTATTTTCTGGCTGATTTTCAGTCCTTTGTTTTCATCATGTTTATTCCAAACTGAGCTAGACCCAAACAGGCTGGAGTGTAACAAAACAAACAAGCAAGGAAAGGACCCATGTGCTCCCCAAGGACAGAGTGGCTGACAGGTGCACCACCAGCTTCTCACAGCATACACAATGAAGTGCTTAAGGAATTTAACTCTGAAGCTAAGGGAAAATACAGTTCATTGACCAAGCACAAAAAATAAAGATCTGGGAAATTAAGAAAATTTATCACTATTGCTCAATTTTAACTTGAGAGAATACACCCACCATTTTCATATTACTCTAAGAAGACAGAAAGCATAAGTATTTCAGGGCAGCAGTCAAATTGACATGTCATATATGAACAACAGGGTCCATGGATCAATAGCAGATGTTTTAGGACAAATTTATGTGGGAAATAATACATGAAGAGTAGATCTATATACACATTCAGAAAGACAGAAGCCAAAAAAGCAAACGCATCATCCTTCACTTATGAAAATGTTACTGACACATCATCAAATAAGTATTTTCTAGTAGCAACAATGGGTCTGTACTGAAATACTATCATGCTCTTGTCCAAGATTATGCATTTGAATGACAACCAGCACAAACCCATGAATAAAGTCTATAGCTGATGCTTCCAAGATTGTTTATAAATTTCATATCACTCTCTTGTGACCTTAACTTCAGTTGTCTACTAACCTAAATTGCATTTTATTAGCAAGATCCTTCATAAGATATGATTAAATGACACATCTATTTAAACAAACAAAAAAATGAAACTCATCCCAGAGGGCAGGTATTGTGTACAAACAAGGTTATGAGAGAGAGAGAACTCTGATTCTAAAGAGCAGGTTTTAAGGAAAGAGTCACCACTGGATTAAGTTGATAATATTCCAAGGAGACTACTCTGTAAAGGACTACAGCTATATACATTCACAGGTTTCAGTAATTTTTTTTCCTAAACTAAGCAATGACATACAATCTGTTTCCATAAAGACAGTGTAAGTTACATAATCATTATGTATTTATTTTATCACATATGTACCAGGTCTTATTATACCATAATGGTGGCCAAATAATCAGATAACTTAAATATATTTCACATAATCAAAATTAAATTTTTAAGAAACTAGTAGCTTCATCTTCTTTTTTTTTAAAGAGAGAGAAGACAGAGAGAGAGAGAATTTTAATATTTATTTTTTAGTTTTCAGCGGACACAACATCTTTGTTTGTATGTGGTGCTGAGGATCGAACCCAGGCCACACACATGCCAGGCAAGTGCACTACCGCTTGAGCCACATCCCCAGCCCTTCAACTTCTTTTCAAATTTAAAATGTGCTTCTTTAACAAAGCTATTCTGACTTAACCCACCTGTCTTCAACTTTCATCTCTGTGATGCTCACCAAGCAAGAAGGATGCCAGTCAAAATGGGGAAAAGAAAGTTGTAATGCCCACAGAAAAACCCAATGACTGTTAAAATCTTTAAAATTGGTCATAATTATAAAAATAATGCATATTTAAATCTAGTGAAAACATGTTCTCTTAGTGTTTTTGTTTTTGTCTTTTTTAAGGAGCTAGGGATGGAACCCAGGGAGAGGTACTCTACCACTGAGTTACATCCACAACCCTCTTAATTTTTTATTTTGAGACAGGGGCTAAGTTGAGGTCCTCCTGTCTTAGCCTCCTGAGTCACTGGAATTACAGGCATGCGCCACCACACCCACCTCTCTCAGTCTAAAAGTTTGTGAAGAAAGAAATAAGAAATTCAAAGTTTTCAACTATATGAGTATGTTTAATTTTTTCAGAAAGCTATAATAGTTTAAATGTTTATAACAAGTAGATAGTACTCCTAAAAACACTTCATTAGATTTGGGTAAACTTTCCCTGGCCCAGCAAACAAAGAGTTCTAGAAAACATCATCCACTGGGGCTGGGATTGTGGCTCAACAGTAGAGCACTCACCTAACACATGCAGGGCCCTGGGCTGGATCCCCAGCACCACATAAAAATAAATGAGTGGAATAAAGGTATTGTGTCCGACTACAACTAAAAAAATAAATATTTTTAAAAATTATTTTAAAAAATCACCCATCAATGCATTAAAGAAACACTTAAACATGTCTACAAAACACTAAAACATAATCCAAAAACCAGCATTGGAAAATTATTTTTTAAATTGATTACCTATATTAATTGCAGTTTCTTGTTTGTCTCCTGTCAATACCCATATTTTAATATCTGCCTTCAACAGAGTTGCTATGGTCTCTGGAACTCCGGCCTGAAGACGATCTTCTATGGCTGTGGCTCCAAGTAACAGTAAATCCTAGGTTGAAAAACATCTTCATTAAAGACTATTTCATGCTTAAGAGCAACATTAGTGACAAAACTCTGCCAAAAGAAAGGTGACCTAAATGTTCAGAGACAGTTACTTAAATCCTTTACACTAAACCCATATTTGTAGATCACTGATATATAGGTGTGGGGTATTTCCAACACAGGCAACCAGCACTTATCATTTACTTCTCGGCACATAGGCATTATAAAAGAAATCATCAAAGCACATGGGCGAGTCACCCTGAAAACACTAACAGTTCACAGGTTCTCTATTCTCACTCTGCTCCTGTGCCAAGTATCATGGTTTAATATGTGAGATGAACCCATTCTAAATGGCATACTTTGTTGGAAGTGCCAGAATAAGAAACCTATAATACTAAGAATTCAACAGCTAGAGAAGAAAATATCAAAGTATCTTAAGATTGCTGTCCCCTATAGTCCTCTTCAAGAATCAACTCCCGCTGAGTATGAGTGTGGTTGTGTGATCTATTGTTCACCACTTACTTGCCTCTGGTGAGTCTCTCCATAATATAGCACCTCAACCAGTCTATGGAAAGTCTACTACCTCATGAACATCTACCACGTTTGATACCATAGAGGCATGAAACCTATTTAATCATTTTTTCTGATTCTAAAAGTAATTTTAGATATTTCTAGTATTAAATTATGTTTGACCTAAACTTCTCTCCATGTTTGGATTAGATAAAGCTTGGCCTAATGCAGCCTTAATACATAATGAAAGGCAAATTACCCTAATAACCAAGCAACTGAGTCTCGGCCAATCACAGAAGGTGAACCTCCAGTCAATCAGGGGCTGAAACATGATCATATAAAGCAAATGACAACTGCCAAATGCTGCCACTCAGATTGATCCTGTATGTCATTTCCTTTCCTCTGGCGATAAATACAACCTACACATAGGATGGAGTAGTCCATTTTGAACCATCCTCTTCTGGTAGTGCTGCTCTGTGCTAGAACTCTTTCCTGCTCTAGTAAACCTTGTTAAAGTTAATTCAGCTCAGATTTTCTTCATTTGTTTGAACCAGTACACCAGGGCAAATGAATACTTTAATTCAGTTCTAGTCCTACTCAGATTCCACAAAATAATTTAATGTAAGCAGCTTAATATAAAACTCAAAAGCTGAGTATAAAACAGCAAAGGAAAATTTTAAAACCCACAAAGGAACGAAAAAAGTAGAGGTGATGCCTTCGAAGCCATAGAAACTGGAAAATGGATGGCCCAAATGGTTGCTCAAACATAGAAAATGTTGAAACTTAGCTCCCAAGTGAATCCAAATAAGTAGAAAAATTATCTAATATCTTGGGATAAACTGAAAAAAAACACACAGCAACAACAAAAAATTAAAGTCATGAGCATGGAGTAGAAACAAAAAAATATAAATGTTATTAAAACAAAGAAGTGTGAAATGTGTTCACATTTACAACATATAACCAGCCTAGAGAGCACTATGATTGCTCATGTAACTCAAGAGGTTGAGCTAATCCATTAAACCTCATGTTAGGCAAACCCAGAAAGTCATTAATGCTATTTTTGACCTGGTATTTCTTAAGATATCACTAATACTTAGCTGAGGTGGCTAGGCCTTTGAGATAACCCATGAAAACTAAATGCTACTTTTGCTTCTTAAACGAAAAAAGTATTAAAAGCTGTCAGTTGGTTAAAACACAAGAAAAAAATCATAATATAGCAAAAGATTCCTGCTTCAAAGACTTTGTTCAACAGTAGTTAAGTCCTTCATTGGGTAAATGAAGACTGTTCTCTATGTGGTTACCTTTTCAATGATCTCGTAACACTCTTCTAATCGCTGAGCTCTGTCTTTCAATATGATGCTTGCTTCCTTATAGACTTCCAGCCACTCCTCATAATCATCCTCCGAGAGATCAGCATAGGCCACACAGAGAGTCCGCAAGCCTGCAAAACAGCCACTGGTGAAGACCTCAAGAAGGGTCTTTTATCTGCTAGGGGACATCATGTGACTTCCTTTTACATAAGCATGCCCTCCCAAATAAAAGAAATCAGCTTCTTTTACAACCAATCAAATTTAAAAATCTGCACATCTTCAAAGAGAAATTTAAAAACTACTTTATTATACTGTAATGCAAACCATCTATTCTATAAGTTTGAGTGCATAAGAAGTAATAAGAATGAATTATCCACAGCAGAGGGACACAGGAGCTGTATATGATCCAGGTTCCAGAGGCAAGAATCAGCAAGCAAAGAGGCAGGAAACTGGCTAAAAATAACTATCCTAGGTTGCAGTATGTGTGTTGGTTATAGAATCATTTCTAACTTTGTGCCAGGTGTGGGACATATGTCTATAAGCCCAGAGACTTGGGAGGCTGAGGCAGGAGAATTGCAAGTTCGAGGCCAGTCTCAGCAACTTAGCAAGACCCTGTCTCATCTCAAAATTTAAAAAAAAAAAAAGTTTTCAGTGAATTATTCCATGAAGTTGTAGATAAGCCAGTGCCATAAGTATAAGAAGAGGACAGAGAAAGAAGCACATGAGTTTTCCTCAAAAGGGACTAACTACAAGACCATCCTACAGGTGAGTTAGCCTGTGTCTCCTGGTGTACTGCTAGTTACGAGTTGGCAGAGAATTGAATTTGGACTTTGCCACTTATTTGGTTGCTGCCATAGGCACAGAATATGGAGATGAGAGGGCAGGGGTAGGCACCTGAAGAATCTCCTCCTGTAAAGCAACCCAAGTACTGCTCAAAAAAAGACATCTGTTTGGAATATGACTGCTTATCCAAGCATCAGCCACGAATGCTTTAGAGTACCGCTTCAGTGGTAAAAAAAATAACATTTCCAAATTTTGCTTACCTTCTGTGGCAAAATATTCCAGATGGCATAATGTTTCTTCCATGTATTCTGAGTCTTCTGAAAGTCTTTCAAAAATGACATTATCCTATAAAATAGGGAAACATTCATTGTGACTGGCAAACTCTTGTTCAGGAAGTCTTTCAGTCAACATGCTAAACATGGCTGGGTTTTATTAGTGTTTATCTAATGTGCACAAAAATACTTGAGTGGGCAAGTAAGAATAAAGTTCTTGGCCGGGCTTGAGCATGAGCTTTGGGGGAAAATGTTGGGTATGGATGTGTCCAAAAAAACCAAAATCTGTTATGCACCTTCAAAGTCAAACAAAAATACATTATGGAGGACCCTAGGAGCCAGGAGACTAATCAAAGATATAAGAGTACCTACTATTACACACATCTGCAAAACTCACATCCTAAAGTGTATATAGATTAAGATCCCAAAGGCTTGAGACTGGAAGTATTTTGAACTTGGGATTTTGGAATGTTTGTGTATACATGAGATATCTCAGGGAAGAGAACCAACTCTAAAGATGAAATTTACTTGTGTCCACACACACACACCTTATGCATACAGCCTGAAGGTAATTGTATACAGTACTTTTACTGTGCCTGTGTTTTGTCTGTGACTCATGATATGAGGTCAGGTGTGGTATTTTCCACTTGTGTCATATCAGTGCTCAAAAAGTTTTAGATATTAGAGTATTTTCGATTCAGGGTTTTCAGATGAGGGACGCTCAGCCTGTAATACCTTTAAAAAATGGAAACGATGCACAGCCTGTTACCCAAGTACAACCTTGCTTCCTGACAACAGAGATGCTCCTAACCAGGGAAAGCACAACCCACAAAGCACTAAACCCCGTTCTGAGAAACACGTGGTTGGACATAGCTCATCTGACCTGAATACCATAATAATCCATCAACTATGTTATTCATTGCATATAGTCTCAGCATGCATTATTTTAAAACTAGTTTGGTTTGGGGGAGTGTTTTGGAAGAATTAAATTCTATAAAAAGAAAATAAATCTTTGCAGCATTTTCATATTTACACTATTGTGTATTTATACCTTCCTCCCTGCCAACTCATATTGACCAAGAACTTGCTGGGGTACTAAGAATACAACAGCAAAAAATAAACAAAGTTTAAAAAGAATATCATATAGCCAGGGACATGCCCTGTAATATCAGTGACTTAGAAGGATGAGGCAGGAAGATTAAAAGTTCAGTCATCCTCATGTAATTTAGTGAGACCCTGTCTCAAAATTAATAAATAAATAAAAAGGGCTAGAGGTGTATTGGTAGAGCACCCTGGGTTCAATCTCCAGTAACTCCCCACAACCAAAATGAATATTTTGTAAGGACATAGCCTCAAAGACCTTAACTTAAATTGCTGCTCTATAAAAGCAGAATTCTTTATGGTTCCAGATATAATGCCTTAAGAAGTACCATGCATTACTCATCCTTAAAGAGCTCTAGTTACAGTGTACTTAAATAAAAATCACCTTTTGCCCCACAGTTGGTAAAAAAAAATAAAATAAAAAATTTTCAACAGACCACTAATCCTAGTATAGTATCATATTCTCAACATAGTTTTTTAAAAAATAAGCATAACAATTCTTTCCCACAACCCACAAGACCACCATTTACCAGGGTGTAGTTTTACAAATAAAACTCAAAAGCAATAACATCTTTCCTTAGAGATAACACCTTTGAGTCTGGTTACTGGAAGGGAGACAGGACAAAAAAACTGATCTATGAACCTGACCAAAAGGAACAATAAAAATGTGGCCAGATATGGACACTGCCCCTGTACCTACATAGCACTCTATGATGAATAAAAAATAAAATACAGTGGTTAAGAAGACTAGATGCTAGAAAACCAATATATAACAGAGTACTTGAAGATTCTCACAGATCACACAAATGATATTCAGAGAATCACAAAATGATGGTGGTGAAACTGGAATTGAATGTTTGCATGGTACACTCATTGAGTTGCTATTTCTGAAACCAACTACTGCTAAAAGCAAGCTTTTCACTTGCCATTTTTGCAACATCTCCTTGAAGCATATTTGCTTTAGCAACCTTTTACTACTATGTCAAGTTCTTTACCTCAAAGAGTTTCTCAACTCTGGGCAAGCAATCAAGAAATCAGGAGGAGAGCAGTGAGAAGCCACAACTAACTAAGTGGCCACCAAGTATGCACTATCTGAGACCCTTACCAGCAATA